CACCTTTTTCTTTTTTCCTTTCTTTCTTTTTTTTTTTTGGTTGGTCATGGGGCTTGAACTCTAGGCCTAGGTGCTGTCCCTCAGCTCTTCAGCTCAAGGCTAATGCTCTACCACTTAAGCCATAGTGCCACTTCTGGCTCTTTCTGTTTATGTGGTGCTGAGGAATCAAACCCTGGGCCTCGGACTGGGAAGGTGGCTCAGTGGTAGAGCGCTTGCCTTGCATTCATGAGACCCTAGGTTCGATTCTTCAGCACCACATAAACAAAAAGAAAAAAGGCGGAAGTGGCGCTGTGGCTCAAGTGGTAGAGCACTAGCCTTGAGCTGAAGAGCTGAGGGACAGCGCCCAGGCCCAGAGTTCAGGCCCCACGACCAGACAAAAACAAAAAACAAACAACAACAACAACAAAAAACCTGGGCCTCATGCATTCAAGGTAAGCACTCTACCACTGAGCCACCCTCCTAGCCCCTCCCTTACTTTCCTTAGTTTTGTGATATATACAATGAATTCTTGGCTTCAGTCTCCCCTCATTTCCCTCTTCATTCATCTATCCTTCTCCTCTTGGCCCCATGCTCACCTCTTTTCTTTATTTATTTGTACTAGTACTGGAGCTTGAACTCAGAGCCTGGGAACTGTCCTTTAGCTTTTAGGCTCAATACTAGCACTCTACCCCTTGAATAATACCTCCATCCTGGCTTTTTGCTCATGAGTTGGAGAGATAGTCTTTCTGAATTTTCTGCCTCCACTGGCTTAGAACAACTATCTTCAGATCTCAGTCTCTTGAGTAGCTAGGATTACAGGCATGAAATCACTGCTCTGCTAGTACTGGGATTTGAACTCAGTACTTGCTAGGCACTGTACCACGTAAGCCATACCCCCAGCCTTTTTTTTTTTTTTGTATGTCGTGGGGCTTAAACTCTGGGCCAGAGTGCTGTCCCTGTGCTCTTCAGCTCAAGGTGAGCACTCTACCTCTTGAGCCACAGCACCACTTCCAGTTTTCTAGTGGTTTATTGGAGATAAGAGTCTCATGGACTTTCCTGCCCAGGCTGGATTTGAACTGTGATCCTCAGATCTCAGCCTCCTGAATAGCTAGGATTCCAGGTGTGAGCCGCTGGCACCTGGCACCCCCAGCCTTATTAATAATTTTTTTTTGTCGGTCATGGGGCTTGAATTCTGGGCCTGGGCACTATCCCTGCATTCTTTAGCTCGAGGTTGGCATTCTACTACTTGAGCCACAGTGCCACTTCCAGTTTTCTAGTGGTTTGCTAGATAAGAGTCTCACAGTCTTTCCTGCCCGGGCTGGCTTTGAACTGTGATCCTCAGATCTCAGCCTCCTGAGTAGCTAGGATTACAGGTGTGAACCACCAGGACCCAGCATATAAATAATTTTTTTGTGCCAGTACTGAAATTTGAACTTGGGCTTGGGCACTGTCTCTTACCTTTTGCTGTTCAAGGCTGGCACCCTACCACTTGAGCCATAGCTTCACTTCTAGCTTTCTGTTGGTTAATTGGAGATGAAAGTATCATGAAGTATCCTGTCCAGGCTGGCTTCAAAGGGAGATCCTCCAATCTCAGTCTCCTGATTAACTAAGATTGCATATGTGAGCCACCAGTGCCAGGCCTGGCCTCAAGAAACTTTTTTTTTTTTTAACATGTGAGTTTTCTTTCCCCCACAAGATCCACTTTAGACTCTTTTATCATCCCTGGAATTACTGACTGTGTGTAACATGGAGTGTTCTGAGACAATTTGCAACCAAGCAAGTCCCTTCTCAGTAACAGGAACAGGATAGTTGGTCAACAATGGGCTGTTATCATATTTCCTATCCACTAGAAGCAGCTGGCCTTGGAGAACAATAAAGTAGTCTCCTGAAAACTGATCTAGCAATATCTAGGAGACCATATCTGAAAGCCTGGGGTGCTCCCATACCTAGGGAAATGCGATCTGAGCAGTGATGGAACCCCAGTACCAATTCTCCCCAGCCAAAACACGGGTCCAGAAACTGAGGGCTAGAGTAGAAGGTGGCATCTTTTATGATTTTTAAAACACTTACTAGCCAGTCACTATGGTAGATCACGCCTATAATTCTAACTACTTAGGAGGCTGTGATCTGAGGATCAAGGTTTTGAAGGCAGCCCAGGCAAGAAAGGCCATGAGACTTGCTCTTCAGTTTAAGGCTAGCGCTCTACCACTTGAGACACAGCACCACTTCAGTTTTCTGGTGGTTTGGAGATAAGAGTCTTACGGACTTTGGGCTGGGAAGTTGGCTCAGTGGCAGAGCGCTTGTCTTGCATGCCTGAGGCCCTGGGTTCGATTCCTCAGCACCACATAAGCAAAAAGAAAAAAGCCGGAAGTGGTGCTGTGACTCAAGTGGTAGAGCGCTAGCCTTGAGCTGAAGAGCTGAGGGACAGCACCCAGGCCCAGAGTTCAGGCCCCACAACCGGACCCAAAAAATAAAAATAAATAAAAAAGAGTCTTACGGACTTTTCTGCTCAGGCTGGCTTTGAACCGCAATCCTCAGACCTCAGCCTCTTGAGTAGCTAGGTGTAAGCCACCTGCACCCGGCTCTCATGAGACTCTTATCTCATAGTCTTCCTCAAAAGCTGGAAGTGGAGCTGTGGCTCAAGTGGGAGAACACTAGTGCTGAGTGAAAATCTAAGGGCCATCACTCAAGCCTGCAGTTCAAGCCTCAGGGCAGCACCAAAAACAAAACATTTGCTTTCCATCCCCCAAGTTACTCAGGCTCTGTGCCTTCACTGTGAATGGCAAAGGTGTTCTCACCAAGGAACCTAGCAAGTGTTCTACCTGGCCATTTGGGACTTCTGTTACTAGAGCAATGGCTGTCCCCATTGCTGGCTGTGTTCCCTCTGATTATGAGGGACGAATAGAGCTGCCTCTCCCTGATATGACCTGGGTGGAACTGACATGGGAGGAGGATGAGTCTTTTGGTTTCCCTTGCTGGACCACACCCAGTGGCAAAAACTACCAGAAAAACGATCAGAATATGATGGAACCTTCTAATTGTTTTTCATTCACCACCATTGTTAGCTAAACTTCCCAATTTGCTCCAAGTCTTAAGATGGGAAGAAATAATCCTTGACTAACAAGGGACTACAGGAGGGATAGATAGCACTTGGAAGTTGTGAACCTTGAAAAATATTCAAAAGGAATGTTTAAAAGGGATGAGATGTCCCATCTCATATCTAGATGTCACTCAGTATGGCCATCTTTTTTGTGTGTGTGAGTGAGTACTGAGGCTTAAACTCAGGGCCTTCATGCTCTTGCTGTACTTTTTCACTCAAGGGTAGTGTTCTACCACTTGAGCCACAGCTTCACCTCCAGTTTTCTGGTGATTAATTGGAAGATAAGAGATTCACAGACTTTACTGTTCAGGCTAGTTTTGAACCTAGTTTTTCAGCCTCCTAAGTAGGTAGTATTACAGGTGTGAGGCACCCTTGCCTCACTCATGCTTCATTGTTTTGGGTCTGCTTCTGAAGGTAAGTTCTACAAAGGTCGGGATTTTATAGGTTTTTTTTTTTTTTACTGAATTTACTTCTATTTATTTTTTCTTTGCCAGTTCTGGGGCTTGAACTCAGAGCCTGGGCACTGTCCCTGCTCAAGGCTAGCACTCTACCACTTGAGCCACAGCTCCACTTCTGGCCTTTTCTGTTTATGTGGTACAGAGGAATCGAACTCAGGACTTCATGCTAGGCAAGCACTCCACCACCAAGCCACATTCCCAGCCCTTCTTGTTGTATTTTTTTTGGGGGGGTGTCCGGTCCTGGGGCCTGAACTCTGGGCCTGGGCGCTGTCCCTCAGCTCTTCAGCTCAAGACTAGTGGTCTACTACTTGAGCCTCAGCACCACTTCCCGAATTTTCTGTGTCTGTGGTACTGAGGAATCAACCCAGGGCTTCATGCGTGCTAGGCAGGCACTCTACCACTAGGCCACATTCCAGCCCCTGCTCTTAGTTCTAAAGGAACCAGGACAGGGTTGCAGACTAACTAATAAAACTCCTTTGTCACCTTTAACCGTGCCTGCCTGCATGGATTTTCTTTTTTTTGTCGGTCGTGGGGCTTGAACTCTGGGCCTGGGCGATGTCCCTCAGCTCTTCAGCTCAAGGCTAGCACTCTACCACGTGAGCCACAGCGCCACTTCCGGCTTTTTTCTTTTTTCTTATGTGGTGCTGAGGAATCGAACCCAGGGCCTCATGCATGCAAGGCAAGCGCTCTACCTCTGAGCCACCTTCCCAGCCCCTTGTATTTCTTGTGTCTAGAACATGTCTGGGGGTGCGGGGGGAAGCATATATTCAGGAAGAGTCTGTCAAATGAATAACCAATACTATTCTACCAAGCATAGTGGTTAATAACCAAGTTTTTAAGGTCGGAGACTCAGCTTCGAATCCTGACTGGGCCACGTGATCCCATCTATGGCTCAGGGTAGAAGTAAATGAAATAGAATTTATAAAGACCTCTCTCCTTCTCCTACTTTCTTGGAACAACTTCTGCTGCTTTGGATGTCAATCTACGCAGTCTACAGTAAGCTTTGAAATTTGGCGGGAATTATCATGTGGGGTGGGGGGGCGGGAAAAGAAGAGGACGACGACAACAACGACAAGAGTTGCACTTGCGCAGGACACCTTCACTAGCTCGCGCGCTAACTTTGCGGCCTTGACAGCCAATCAGAGTCAGCCTAGGAACCCTAGTGCCGACAAATCACCAATTGAAACTAGGGGGCTGGCCGAAGTTGAGTCGGTGGCGAGAGGAGGCGGGGATGAGGAGAGGGCAAGCACACCTCTTGCAGCCGGGGTCTCTGCTAGCCAATGGGAGAGGCAGAAGTCCTGAAGGCAGTGGGGCGTGGCGTTGGGAGCTCCGGCAACCGGAGGCTGCTCTGGAGAGAGCCAATCAGAGCCAGAAGGTGGGAGAAGACTAGCCAATCAGCGTGCAGGACAGGCGAGGCAGGAGGCGGCAGAGGCTTGCGCTGACGCCGCTGGCTCCGTAGCTTCTGTCAGGGTTGCCGGGTGTGCGAAGGCGGCGGAGGCGGGAAGGCGGCGGGAGGTTGAAGGGAGCGATTGCGGACTTGCAAAAGGGAAGGAGAAAGACTGAGCAGTGATGGTGATGGCGGCTAAGAAGGGCCCAGGCCCAGGTGGCGGGGTCAGCGGGGGCAAGGCGGAGGCGGAGGCGGCCTCGGAGGTGTGGTGTCGCCGGGTGCGGGAGCTGGGCGGCTGCAGCCAGGCCGGGAACCGTCACTGCTTCGAGTGTGCCCAGCGCGGGGTCACCTATGTGGACATCACCGTGGGCAGCTTCGTCTGCACCACCTGCTCCGGCCTCCTGTGAGTGAGCCTGCCGCGGGGTGGGGGTGGGGGTCAGATCGGGAAAGGGAGGGCGGAGGACCGCATGGGTGTGGGGGCGGATCTCGGGGACCCGGGGCAATGCGGGAGGCCCAGGGTCGGAGGGCTGAGGACAACAAGGGGGGGGGGGGGGGCACCAGAGGACACCGCACCTGACGGAAGAGTTGTCCACTGCAGGGATGTCGTGAGGAAGGGCCACGCAGAGGACCAAGAGAGGCTGAAGCCATCGCGTTGCAGAGGGGAGGGTGGGGGTAAGGACAGACACGCAGGCTTCCTGGAAGGAGGCGAGGCCTACTGCAGGTGCTGAGGAAAAAAGTGGGCAAGAAGTGAAAAAGAAACCCGGGGTGGGGATAGAGGGATTTTAAGGGACACCGTTAAAAAGGAACTTCCTGGAGATGGAAAGCCAAAAAGGCAAAGAGTTTGGGTTAACTTGGATTATGATAGAGTACCTTTCTTTCTGGGGGCTTCGGGAGTTGTGTGATGCAGAAAGAATGGGGAAATAGGTGAGTTAACCAGGTTGTTGGCTTAGGCATATACAGTGGCAGGTCAGGAACATGGGTTCAGTTGTAGATACTATTCTTGCAAGGTTTTGGAATGCTGTCACGCATATAGACTTCAAGATCTAGTATGAGATGAGAACCAATGGGTTATTCTGGTAGAGAGCTTAACTTTTCCAAAGGTATGGTGAACCATCATTTTATTTTTCTTTTACTTTTGTGTGGGTAATGAGGTTTGAACTCATGGTCTGGCTCTGTCCTTTAGTTTTTTTGGTTTTGTTTTCTCAATGCTGGAGCTCTACCATTAGACCAAACCTTCTGGTTTGTGTGTGCATGTATGTGTGGTTAATTGGAGAAAAAAGTCTTTCTGCCTGCGTTGGCTTTTAACCACAATCCTCAGATCTCAGCCTCCTGAGTAGCTAGGATTACAGATGTGAGCCATCAGCACCTGACCATTTATACTTTTTATTTTCTCCTTGCCATGCTAGGTCTTAGTGGTAGCCTTCATTAAACTCTTCTAAATTTGGTGTGGGGGCATTGTTCTTGTATATCTGTCATGTTACCCCTGGCATTGACACTGTATTTGGTCATGCCAGAGTTACTTTGGAGCCTTGGTTCTAGTTTTATAAAGTAAGTCCTATCTACTTAGAAAAGTATTTGATTAGATGCATAATTTAACATATAATTATAGGCCTACATCTTTTTAGAAGTTTGTTGAGGGTTTTATTTTGCCTGTTATTTAAAGCATTATTTTAATACACCATTGTTCTGTTTTAACAAGCAAAGCTTCCCTTGTTTTTATATGCTTAGGAGCTGAGAAACAAGCAGTATTGTTCTTGTATGACAGATGGAAGAGCAGAAGCAAAGCAAGGTTTAGTAACTTATCCAGTGCCATATGGGGGTTGCTGTTTTCAACATTTGTTGTTTCATATTAGTTATGATTATGGCAGTCCAGAAATAAAGATCCAGGCCTCTTCTAAGGTACAATTTGAGACTATTTCTCTATTCAATTTTTACCTGCTTTATCCAATTTCTTTGGGTGTTGTGTCAAATTTCCTGGCATGTTGTGAGGATGAACCTGATTTTGATCTAAGTAAAAGCCATTGTGGCTCTTGGGACTGGAATTTAGAACACAAATAAGACTATCATAAGATGAAATAGAAACTCAGTTGACGCAAGAGAACTGAGTCTAGGGCAATTACTCTGTGCATGGAAGGAATGAGGGTTAGGAGTATTTTTATAGAGGAAAGTAGAAAGAGGGAGAGAGTCTGGGAAGAAGGAAAGCAAAGCAAGAAGCTTATACTGATGGTCTAGCAGAGGTAGGGTCTAGGAAGAAAGTATCAGGAAATAGTGTTAATTCATTCCATTGCAAATCTGGGATGGTATAAAAGGTAAAACTGCCTAAATGGGAAGGACAGGCAGTGTTCTCATTCTGTTCTAGCTCTTAGATAGATCCCATAAATAATATTTCCTGTCTATAAGGAATATCCCACAATCAGGACAGAAGGCAGGCCAAAGGATGTAGGCTACATTAAAAACCTGATTTCTTTTACTAGAAAAGTTAACTCTTGCCATTTCAGCACACAGTTTGTAAGAAACCGTATCACTTTTTCCTGGATCACTTATCACTCTCATTGGGCTTACTGACAGAAAGTCAGACATGTGAACTGAGCTTACACTGGATGGAGGTGGCAGAAGATTGATAGTTTGTTGTTGTTTTTACTGTTGGTCATGGGTCTTAAACTCTGGTCCTGGGCACTGTCCCTGAGCTCTTCAGCCACAGTGCCACTTCCACACAGTTATTTTAATAAAGAAGAAGTCCAAAAGGCCTGGCTCTGACGTGTTTATATCTCAAACTGGGTGGGGCTTAGTTCCTTGGAGCTTCTGTTCCCATGGTAGGGAGTGAGAGGGATCTGCCAACCCTTTTGAAGTTTCAAGAGGATGATTTTTGCTCAGAATTTTGTTAAAGTATTCGAATCACTCAGAGTGATTTTTGAGGTAAGTTTTTAGGAATATTATTTTAATGTTTAGAAAGTGAGAAGAGAAGGCTGGGAAGGTGGCTCAGTGGTAGAGGGCTTGCCTCGAATGCATGAGGCCCTGGATTAGATTCCCTAGCACCACATAAACAGAAAAAATTGGAAGTGGCACTGTGGCTCAAGTGGTAGAGTGCTAGCCTTGAGCTGAAGAGCTCAGGGACAGCATCCAGGCCCTGAGTTCAAGCCCCAGGATTGACAAAAAAAAATGTGAGAAGTGAGGCCAATCCTTTTTCAACAGGAAGTAAGAAGAGAGTGAAAGATTACAGGCTGGACCTGGGAGCCAGGCATGGTGGTACACACTTGTAATCCCACCACTTGGGACCTGAAGCAGGAAGGAAGGAAGGGAGGGAGGGAGGGAGGGAGGGAGTTGGGCCAATGAGAGCTAGCTTTTTCCTGGCTATAATTTGCTTGAGTTCTGGTGGTACTTTTCATTTGCTAATTCATTTGCTAATTGGAGTTTTAATTAGCAGGACTAGGGAAAGGTATAGAAATCCTTTAGAAGGGTCTTCCAGTGATACCTCTGTCCTTTTTGTGGGGCCTGGAGGAACTGGCAGCTGAACCACAGGTGGAAGCTGTGATGCAGGAGATGCTTCTTGCTTGCTGCTAAGTGAAGAGAACACACCCAGTTCTGCAGGCTCACAGCGGCACAAGAAACACTTGGTATCTTTAGTCCAAATGGTTGGTTGTGCAGAGATTAGGATTCAGTGGTGGGGGAAGTAAAATTGTTGCAGGCTAACAACCTGCCACAGATAGTCAACAATTATTTATTCAGCACCTGTTGAGCTGCAGGTTAAGTGTAAGGAACTGGAGATATGGTACGTAAATAAAACAAGCAGGGTACGATCCTAGCTGCTCAGGAGGCTGAGATCTGAGAATCCCAATTTGGAGCCAGCCAAGGCAGGAAAGTCTGAGATTCTAATCTCTAATTAAGCTGAAAGTGGTAGAGTATCAACCTTGAGCAAAAAAAAGCCAAGGGAGTGTAGGAGACCCTGAATTAAGCCTTAGTATCTGTGTGTGTGTGTGTGTGTGTGTGTGTGTGTGTGTGTGTGTATACTTCTATACTTGTGGATAGTATGATGGAAATAAATCATCTTTTTGAAAATTTCCCTCAAGTATTTTGAGGGGAAATTTGAAATCTCATCTCTAGAATCCTAGCCACAGAAAGGAGACCTCAGGATTGGTTTTGGTTTTGGATTTTGGGGGTTTGGGGTTTTTTTGTTGTTGTTATTTGCCAGTCCTAGGGCTTGTTCTCAGGGCCTTGGTGCTTTCCCCTGAGTTTCTTTTGTTCAAGGATAGCTCTCTACACTTGAGCCACAGCTCCACTTCTAACTTTGCTGGTAGTTAGCTGGAAATAAAAGTGTCATGGACTTTGCTGCCTGACTTCGAATCATGATCCTCTAGAGTTCAGCCTCATAAATAGCTAGGATTACAGGTGTGATCCACCAGTACCTGGAACAATCAGCTTTATTTTAAAGGTAAACTTTCTGTAGACTGTGTTAAAAATGTGTCTGCCTGTGAGGTCTGAGGAATCAGTTCAAAGCCAGCCTGGGAAGAAAAGTCCACGAGATTTTTATCTCTAATTAACCACCAGAAAACCAGAAGTGGTGTTGAGGCTCAAATTGGCTTTGAGCAAAAAAGCTCAGGGACAGCACCCAGGCCCTGAGTTCAAAAAAAAAAAAAAAAAAAATATATATATATATATATATATATATATATATAAGTAAATAAAGTGCCTGCCTGTTCTGGAGGAGTATTCTGGGGGATTGTGTGCAGAATTGCTGGTGTTCCCAGCTGGCTGAATTAGCTGGTAGAGAGCAAAGTTAATTGTTCCAGCCAATGGTAAATTTCCTGATATAGAGAAAAATCCACATGTAAATATTGGTGGGTGGCTGTGAAGATCTCTTCCTTGCATGTGTGAGCGTATTTCTTTCTTCAGCCCTCTCCTCTCCCTACCCTGCTTTCTTTTTTAATGAGAAATATTTTCTCAGCTGTAGCAAAAGCCTATAGCGTTGGTGTGAGTGAGGGCTTGAGAGAGGCTGCTGGCTGCTGCTGCTTCTAAATTTGCATACGTGCTGCCACAGTTGTAGGTCCCAAATTTGACCTAGTTTCAAGTATTTGATTTTCTTCCAGTACCTAATTTCCTTAACCTGGAATCAGAGTCTTTTTAATTTCCTCCAACATATGCATATGCTTGTTTGTTTAGTTCTAGTTTTAACTCATCTAGTGGAGAAAGAACCTACTATTTGATGCTTAAGATGAGATAAAACAAACCATTCTCAATGGATGCTGGTGACTCACACATTCAATCCTAGCTATTCAGGAGGCTGAGATCTGATGATCTCGGTTCAGAGCTAGCCTGAGCAGGAAAGTCTAACCACCAAAAAGCTGGAGTGGAATTGTGGCACCAGTGGTAGAGTGCTAACCTTGAGCAAAAATGTTCTGGGACAAC